GGGGGGGTCAGGGCTGGGAGCGCAGGGGGCTGCGGGGCGGGGTTAAGGGGCACCAGCAGAGCTGTGTGTTTGGGGGGGGTCAGGGCTGGGAGCGCAGGGGGCTGCGGGGCGGGGTTAAGGGGCACCAGCAGAGCTGTGTGTTTGGGGGGGGGGTCAGGGCTGGGATCGCAGGGGGCTGCAGACTCAAGTTTCCAAGTGATGGAGCATAGAGGCTGCATCTCCTCCCCCGACCCTGGCTCCCACAGCATGGGCATAGTTTAGGAGGGCAAGGGGGGGCATTGCCCCCCCAATCTGCAAGCCTCTGGCAGGCATGGAGTTTGCCACCCACATGACCTGCGGCCCCATTGGCCTGACTGGTGCTGCCCCCCCCCAAATATAGAGGCCAAACTACGCCTACGTCCCCCAGGAATCCCGCCTCGTTCCTCGCCTCCCAGCCGCTCACCGGAGCAGTTCCAGCAGCCGACCCTTCACCTCCCGGACCAGCTCCTGCTGCTCGGTCAGCTGCCCTAGGTGTTTCTTGTCTCGCTCTTTGGCTTCTCTCTGTGCTCTCTCCAGCGCCAGCCTCAACTGCTCCCCGTCCTGCCGGGCCCTGGACAGAAGGACAAGCCCTGAGATGGCTCAGCCCTGGCAAGCGTTAGCTGCAGGGTGCCGGAGATCCACCGCTGGGGTCTGTCGCTAGGGCAGGGAAAGGCCGGACAGGCCACCACCCTGGACTGCAAGAGCACCCCGCTCCGGCAGTGATGCCCCGAAGGGGGTCAGCCCCACGCTGCATGCGGACAGGCCTGAGCCACCCCAGCCGGAGCCAGGCGGCCCGCTGAAGCTCCCCTGTAGAAAATGCCACCGATATTTCTGGGGCCAAATGAACGCCGCAAAGCAGGGCCAGCGTCTCGCCGGGACGGGCAGGAAACCCAGAGACGATCCTGCCGGGGGGCAGGTTTGCATCCGTCTGTATTTGAGGCTGGCTGGGGAAGGGTCATTTCCCCTGGCATGGAGACCAGGGGTGGAACCATGGGGGAAAGACACGGGGGTTATGCCTTTATCGCTCCTCGGGGCCTGAGCGTTGGGGTTTTACATCCGGCTTGGCTTTTAACACTGGGGCATCTCCAACTCAGGAGACTCTCTGGCCAGCTGTGGATGTAGCAAGGTCACCACCGCCGAGCGGCCGGGCCTGTGAGCCCTGAGCAGCAGAGGGGCCGGACGTTTATTGGGAGCATTTGGAGCTCTCTGGATTTCGGTTGCGGGGAAGCTCTCAGTGCTACGGACTCAGCCTGGCCATGCCTTCCACGAAAGCCCCAGATCTGCGGGCCAGATTCGCAGCTGGTGGAAACCCAAGGGCGCTCGGTTGTTGCCATCAGCTGAGGAGCTGACCAGCCTCTCTGAGTCTGCCGAGAAGTCCAGCGTCTAAAACGGGGAGGAGAAAACTCGCCCAGGCTTATGCTCCTATGATCAGATCCCAGATCCCCCAAGGACCCCAATTTGTACAGACCCCCAGGGCACAAGGCACCTCCTTCCCTCTCTGCACTTCTCCTCTAAGCACTGGGTACAGTCCTATGGGCTGATGCACCCTATGTAGCTTGGCCCGTTGGCGGCTGTGCATCATCTGATTGGCTGGTGTGTCAGTTAGTCAGCTATTGGGCTCTCGTCCAATTGGCTGACGTGTCGGTGAGCTTGCAGCACGGGGTACATTTGACTCTGGCTGTCAGCATTTCTAAGGTGCCCATCACCACAGTATCTGGGCTGCCCGGAGCCCAGGGTTTACTGTCCTCGCTCTTTGACCCGATTCTGATCACTTCCCCCCCAGCGCTGCTGGCCTTAGTGGCATCTTGCCCGACTTTCCCTGCTGGGTGAGCGAGGTCAGAATCAGGCCCGCTGGCTCGGGCAGCAGTGGCGCGTTGCAAAGGCTCCCGAGGGCACGGGCGCTTCCAGCCCAGGCAGCGCCGTGTACGCAGGGCATCGGCCGGGCTCACTGCGTCTCCTACCTGCCCAGCTGCTCCGCCAGCTGCTTGGCTTCCTCCTCCTTGGCCGTTAGCCGCTGCCCTTTCTGCTGGGCCTCCCCCATCGCCTTCTCCAGGTGGGTGGTCAGGTGCTAGGAGGGTAAAGCACTAACGTGAGGCCAGGCCTGGGCTCCCCCAGCTGGACTACATTTCCCATGATGCATCCCAGCCATGTGACAGCCCTCCCCAAGAGGGGAGACCCTGGTGCATCATGGGAGATGTAGTCTGACCAGGGCGCCAAGGCCATAGAGGTGAACAGGTGAATGAGGCACCTGAACTACAACGCCCATGATGCACTGCAGCAGCTTGTCTGAATCGAAATATTTTGCAGGGGGTTTTTTGGGTTTTTTTCTGAAAACTCAAAATGTGCCATGGAGAACCCCTCACCCCCATTTCCCTCCCGCATTTCCCTCCAGTGCCATTCCCTCCCTTCCAATGGCCAGTTCCTACCTTCACCATCTCTTCGACACTCTTCCTTGGTTTCTGCTCTGGCCTGGCCTTCTCCAGCATGGCCGCTGTCCCCAGGTCCTCCGGCGGCTCCCCTGCCAGCACCTGCTTGCCCATCTGCGGCACACCCCCTCCAGCCGCTTTCTCCTCCGCTGCGCCCCGTCCTCTGGCCAGCCCCAGGGGTCCCTCATCCCCAGCTTCCGGCCAGTCGCCTCCCCCCGCCCGCTCCAGCTCCGCGGCAGCTCGGGCCAGCGTCTCCTCCAAGGCGTCCTTCTCCGCCAGCACGGCGGCGAGCTGCCCCCTGGCCTGCTCCAGCGCGTCGGCGGCTCTCTGCTTCTCCAGCTCCAACGTCTGCACCTGGAGCCGGAGCGCCACCATCTGCCCGTCGCTCTCCTCCTTCTGCCGGGCCAGCGCGTCCTGCCGCCGGGTGTCCTCCAGCTCGTCTTGGAGCTCGCCTGCCTCCCGGGCACGGCTCTCCAGGGCGGCCGCTGTGGTTTGCACTTGCTTGGCCAGGACGTCTCTCTCTTCGGAGGCTCCCTGCAGCACGGCCTGGAGCTGCTGTTTCTCCTCTCCCTCCGCCCGCCTTTGCTCCTCGCACTCCGCCAGCCGCCTCCTCAGCTCGGCCACAGCCCTCTCGTGCCCGGCTCGCTCCTCGGTCCCTCGCGCCTCCAGCTGGGCCTTCTCGCGCGCGAAGCCCGCGGTGGCTTCCGCCAGCCGGGAGGCCACAGCGGCGTTTTCGGCCAGGGCGTCCTGCAGCTTGGCTGACTGCCCCTCCAGCTCCTCCTGCAGGCCCCGCGCCCCTTCCTCCTTGTCCATCAGCGCCCTCTCCGCGTGCGCCAAAGCCGCCTGGAGGGAGGCGTTTCGCTCCTGCCGTGCAGCCAGCTCTTTCTGGAGATCCTGAGCCTCCAGCCGGGCGGCCGCCAGGCTCTGCCCCTGAGACACCGCCGACTCCAGCAGGGCCTCTCGCTCCCTCTCCAGCTCCCGTCCCTCCGCCAGGCCCCGCTCCAGCTTCTCTCTCAGCCCCTCGGCCTGCAGCTCGGCCTGCCGGAGCCTGCCTTCCAGCGCGGCCCTCTGGGCCGTCTCCTCCTCCGGGCCGAGCGGGGGGCTGCCGCTGGGCCCTTCCCGCTGCCCCTGGCTGAGCTGGTGCCGCAGAGCCGCCACCTGGGCCTCCGTCTCCTCCAGCCTCCCCTCGCTCGCACTCAGCTTCTCCTGCAGTCGCTGGCACCGCGACAGCAACTGCTGGTGCCTCAGCTCCTGGGCTTCTGCTCCCGCCAGGTACTCCCTCCTCTCGGCCTCCTGCGCTCTCAGCCGCCGCTCGGCCTCCGCCAGGGCCTCGGCCGCGGCCCGAGCCTCCCGGCGCAGGCCGGCCGCCGCGGCCGCCTCTTGCTCGGCGTCGCGCGTCGCCTGGGAAAGCCGCTCGGCGAGCTCCTGCTGACGCTTCTCCCCCGCTGCCAGCCTGGCTCCGTGCCGCGCCTGCAGGGACGCCGTCTCCTCCTCCTTCTGGGACAGCTGCCGCCTCAGGGCGTTCACCAGCACGTCCATCTCCTCCAGCGTGTCGCTCAGGAAGGCCTTGGAGTCCTGGAGCTCCCGGATCTGCCTGGCCTGCTCCTCCGCCTGGCGGCTGCAGCGCTGGGCTGCCTCCTGCTGCAGCCTGTCTTGCTCCTGGCGGTGGCGTTGCGCTTCCTGAACCGACATGGACTCCAGCTCCCTGCCCAGCGCCTCGACCTGCAGCTGCAGCTGGGCGTTAACCCTCCGGAGCTCAGCCTCTGGCTTTGCGTCTCCAGCCGCCTCCGAGCCCCGCTGCTGGGAACCCGCCTGTCGCCCGTTGTCCGGGCTCCTCTCCAAAGAGGCTGCCGTTGCCGTATGTTCCCTGGACTCTTCCAGTCTGGGCTGGAACGGGTCATCAGTGCTAAGCCCCGGGGATTGGCTGACCTGTCCCGGGAGCTGGGGCTCTTCCTGGGGTCCTCTCCTGGCTCCGTGGTGTTTCTCGTGGACTCCAGCTGGGTTCCCAACCTACAGCGGGTGAATAAGAGCAGAGACAGAATGAGGGATGGCTTCTTCGGAGATACCTGGGGACAAGTGGGTCTGCGCCCCTGTTTGTGGCTAGGAGGATAACCACCTGCTCCTACGGCCAGCTAACGGGCTGGGGCTCTTAGCTCAGGTGGTAGAGACCTGGGCTTTGGAGCTGGAGGCCCTGGGTTCAATCCCCCAGTAGCCCAGCCCAGGAGCTCTTGGCGGATCAGCCGCATCAGACCCGCGTGAGATTCAGTCGCCGCTGGCTGCGGCACTGTCTCTGCTGCAAGGACACCTGAGCTCTCCTAACCAGGTGGTGGTGCCGTGCGCCGAGCTGGTTACAACTGACTTGCCCAAACTGCGGCTCCGTCCACAGCAGCGCCAGGGCTGCATGCCCGTCTCCAACGCATGCTGGGAAAGCCGGCCGGCTAGCGCTCCACACGCCCCCAGAGTGGCACCCGCCAGCAATGCATGCTGGGAGGACAGGGGGTCAGCCAGTAGAGTGGGGCGGATCTGGTCTGTGTAGCCACATAACGGGCAGACAGGCACGTAGCAGCCTGGGCTCCTGGCACGGGTGAAACATAGCGGGTGGCTATAAAGCCAGTTTAGAGACAGCCCCGTTACCGATGCGGCTTCGAGGCCAGAGCGCCTCCCATGACAGCCACGGCACGGTGTGCATCGGCAGCGCCTCTCCCCACGCTCTGAGCGGATTCCCTCCCAACCATCACGGGGACGGGCGCTTTGGAAATGCCAGTGCCAACAGCGAACGATACAGTCCCAGTGCCCCACCCTGGGGAGGGATCACCTACAGGCCAAGCCGGCCCCTCCTTCTGGCTGGTCACGGGCCTTTGGCTGGAGGATCTGGACAGAGTCCTAAAGGAAACAAACACACTCAGGGTAACGGCCCGGCAGAGTCTCCTCCCAGCTGCCTGGACCCACCTCGGCTGTTCCAGCCGTTTCGCCCTCCCCTGATCTATCAGCCTTCAGTGCCCAAAGACTGAATCCTGCCAAAGGGAGCTGCAGACGCCCATCCGAGGGTGGTCTGGCCCCACTGCCCCGCACAGTAACATTTACATTGGAGAGACCCCCTGGGAAAGTGACACTCCAGCTGGAAACATTTCCTCAGGCCCCCAGATAAAGCTGCCCGGTCCCCCCTCTCCCCTGGGTGATGGATGGGCTGGGCCGAGTTGTGTCCATGACACTGCTCTCAGAAACCGCCCTGGTAGGGTGTGATCAGAGCCAAGCCCGGACCAAAGCCCCTGTTCTTGGATAAGTTTCTCCTGAACCAGCAAATCCACTTGAAGGCCAGAAGAGATGCTGCAGAGGAAGGCACCCTCCACCCCCACACCAGGGTCTCTCCCAATCTTATCCAGGGGAAAAATCCTTCTTGATCCCAGACCCTGAGCATGGGGGCGAGACCCAGCAGCCCGACACCCGGGAACGAATTCTCGGCAGTAACTCAGAGCTCTCCCTGTCTCGCGTCCAGCTAAACCAGAAGCTGGGGGCAGGGGGCACCAGGCTGGGATCTTACATTTAGGGACTTGATTGTGCGTTTCTGCTGAATTTGGGCCCTGTCTAGCCTTCCCTGGCTGCAACACTGAAGATTGGCTAAGTGACGGGCGCTGATCAAGGCTACCCTATTGCTACGGGGCTGTGGCAGGTGGCCCGGCAGTTGGCTCCAACTCCTAGCCGTTGGGAGTCTGGCCCCATCGTGGTTAGCCCCTCGTGCGTGACCTAAACCTCATCCTTCTCCCAACTTCTGTCATCTGTGATGGGGTATGTGACAAAGCAGGGAATTTTCTTAGTGTTTTGCATGAACACTGTGTGTGCCTCGGTTTCCCTGTGTGCTGCGTGTGTGTAATGAGGGGGTGGGAGACAGTTTGTTGTTGCAGAGGACCAGGTGTGACCTTGCCTAGCAGTCGGGACCCCGGACACTGGCCTGGAGATTGGGGACCCAGCGACTGGTGACTGGGAGGCCCAGAGCAGCTTGGGAGGCAGCCCGTTAAACGGGGCTTGTTTAGTCTCCAGAAGAGAAGAGTGAGGGGGGATTTGATAGCAGCCTTCAACTACCTGAGGAGGGGTTCCAAAGAGGACAGATCTAGACTGTTCTGAGTGGTAGCAGATGACAGAACAAGGAGCAATGGTCTCAAGTTGCAGTGGGGGAGGTTTAGGTTGGATATTAGGAAAAACTTTTTCACTAGGAGGGTGGTGAAGCACTGGAATGGGTTCCCTAGGGAGGTGGTGGAATCTCCTTCCTTAGAGGTTTTTAAGGTCAGGCTTGACAAAGCCCTGGCTGGGATGATTTAGTTGGGGGTTGGTCCTGCTTTGAGCAGGGGGTTGGACTAGATGACCTCCTGAGGTCTCCTCCACCCCTGATATTCTATGAATCTATGAATGGGCCGAGGAGAGAGGGTCCCGTGACCTGACCAGCCAGTGGGGGAACAAAGGACGTGTTTACCTGGGACGGAGGACAAAGGCCAGGGGAGGAGATGATATCAGTGATAAGGAGGGGGCGGCTGGACTGGGGAGAGATGTTCTGTGCTGAGGGTTGCTAGGCCCCGGGGCCCTGAGAAGTGCCTGGGCTGGGTTCAGACCCTCAATAAACCTCCTGTGTTACATTGGCGGAGAGTCAGAGAGGAAGGGGGGAGGAAGGGTGCATTGCCCCCTCTGGGCGTGGAGGCCCCAGGGGTCCAGAGCGAGTGGCAGAGACAGGAGTACTGAGGCTCAGAGAGGGGCGGCTCCAGGAGGTGGAGGGGGTTGACCCCCGGAGAGAGAGTGGACCCCCGAGAAGGGCTGTCACACTGAAGGGGGTTCCTCCCAGAGACTGGAGCTGAGAGAGCCCAGGGCCTGTGAGTCCGGGCCAGGGTGTCCACCCCACACTGGCCCACAAGGTGTTAACCTATTAGGCGGAGAGGAAAGCCCTGCTTAGGGGGCGCTCAGCTGGGCAGGAACAGCTGGGGCTGTATAAAGGGGCAGAGAGCAGAATGGGGCGCGGGGGAGCCGTCTGCAGTTGCTCCCTGGGGATGGGAGCCGTGTTTGGGGCGACAGAGGCTGGAGAGGAGGCCGCAGGGCTGCAGAGAGAGCGCGCGGCAGCCGGGCGGGCAGCGAACAGCAGCAGGGGACCTCCGCCGTGGAAGGAGCTGATTCCTCAGAGCGGCCAGGAGCCGGTGCCACCTGCGGTGAGTGGACCCCGTGACACCGTCCCTACCCACTGGGCCCAGGCGTTCCCAGCCTGTTCGCTTCGGCTATTTGCCAGTCGTTTCTCGGGCCAGGTCGTCCGAGTCGCAGGGCCCTGCTTTTGCTCCTTGACTGGATTTTTCAAATAGAACCATTAGTGCCCGGCTGGTACGAATGGGGGGACGAGTTATCCCGGGGGCTTGTCGCAGGTCGGCTGGCCCCGCGGGCGGGGAGGGGGGGTTCATGGATATTAGCCGGGGAGGCTGGCAGGAGGACACTTCGTGCCAGTATCTCCTGGAAGGAGGAAGGACAGTCTGGCATGGGAAGCGAGCGATCCGGGCTCTGGGCCCAGTTCCCCCGGCCCGTTGCAATTTGCTCAGCCTGGCTGCGGTCAGCACGTCCATCTGCAAAATACAGCTATCAGCAATTCCTGACCTCCCAGTGGAGGGGGCTGCCGGAGGGGGGTGTATGTGGAGGGGATGTGGGTGGGGAGGGGTTTGTCTGTGGGGGAGGCTGTCTGTGTGATGTATCAGAGGGGTAGCCGTGTTAGTCTGAATCTGTAAAAAGCAACAGAGGGTCCTGTGACTTGCATCTGAAGAAGTGAGGTTCTTACCCACGAAAGCTTATGCTCCCAGTACTTCTGTTAGTCCCAAAGGTGCCACAGGACCCTCTGTTGCTGTCTGTGTGATGCAACTGTTATAATTCCTGAGGCCTGCATCCCGCAGAGGGCCGGGCGAAGTCAAGGAGGAGGAGGAGCTGCCGCTTGGCATTGCTCTGGGCTAGCTCCCCAGCGATCAGCTGATCAGAGGCTGGATGTAAACAGGGGCTTTGAGCCGCTGCCCCACGGCCTGGTGTACGGGCACGTCCAGCTTGGCCCTAGCGCTTGGCCACGGAAAGACTCTCCCGCTCGGTTTGGCAGGAGCTCGGAGGCTGTGGCGAGCTCCCAGAGGCACGGGGTGACCCCCCCCCTTGGGGGCTGGAAGCAAGGGGTGCCTATGCTGTCAGGGATTAACCCTTTCTTTCCCTTCGTCTTTTTCGATGCGGTGTAGTAAATCTGGTGGGAAGCGGCAAACCCCGGGGAGGGAGGGAGACAGCCTCAGGGAAGAGCGGGCAAAAACCGAAGTGGCTTCAAGGCTGAGTGGCATCCGTTTATGGAGAGGGTCAGACCAATGGCCCGTCTAGCCCAGTGTCCTGTTTGCCGACCGTGTCCTACAATGGCATGTCGCCCATCTGCGACTGCCAGCGTAACCCACACGCCTCCTGGGTGTGGTGGTCTGTCCCATCTAGTCGGGGGCCAGCTGGCTTTTAACTCATGCTGTAGAGACTCATGCACTAAGCGCCAGCGGCCCCAGGTTCGATCCTGCCCCCTAGCAACAAATATCTCCAACAGCCGGGGATGGGACACTGAGTGAGTACAGACAATTGTCTGGCTGGGGGGTCTTGCCCGGCCGGCATCCTCAGGGTCTAACCGATCATCCGATTTGGGGCTGGGAAGGAATTTCCCCCCGGGTCAGATTGGCAGAGACCCTGTTTGGTTTTTTTTCACATTCCTCTGCAGCCTGGGGCGCGGGCCATTTGCAGGTTTAAGTGGTGGATCCTCTGTAGTGTTTTTAGAGCAGGATCTGGGGACGTCAGTAACTCAGCCAGAGCCCAGGGGCCCGTTACAGGAGCGGGTGCGGGGGGGGGTTCTGGAGCCTGAGGGGTGCCGGAGGTCAGAGTGGATGCTCACGCTGGTCCCTTCTGACCTTAACATCTGGGAGGCCAATGTTTAACACCCAGCTGGGCGTGTTTCCCCCGTCTGTGTCTGGGAGGCCCCGGCTGGCTGGGATGGGGGGCCAGAGCAGGCTGGCCCAGACCCAGAGAGGGGTGAGGCTGCTAACGGCCTGGGGAAAGGGAGATCCTGACTGCCCCTCCCCTCTTGGCAAAGGGCGGGTCCGTGGCCTTTACAATGCAGGCTCCTGCGCTGGGGGGCTGATGTCTGTGGATGGGTTTGATGCTGAGCTGGGGAAGCAGGGACTGGGCAGGGCCCATGAGCAGCTGACCTACTTGCTTGGCTAGGCTCAGAGCCGTATGGGCCCGTGGGCTCTAGTTGAGATGGGCCGTTGCCCTGAGCCTCAGCCGTGCCCGCTGGGTGCCAGCGAGCGGTGCCAGGAGCTGGTGGCCAGACCTCTTGGAAATGCAGCTAAGCGGGGAGGGACGTGCTCGGGGGCTGGCGTGTGCTGATCACTGGGTGCTGTGCAGCGGGGGGCCGGGGGTTACAATATGAGCCGCACCTGATGCACGAGGCCTGAAGGCTGCACGTGCCACGTCCTTCGCTCCCAACCCACAGACCATGACTGCTCGGGAGTGAGGGGCACGAGCAGAGTTGGGGGGAGCCCAGAGCAGGGATAGCAGGGGCTGCGGGTCGGGAGTGAGGGGCACGAGCAGAGTTGGGGGGAGCCCAGAGCAGGGATAGCAGGGGGCTGCGGGTCGGGAGTGAGGGGCACGAGCAGAGTTGGGGGGAGCCTAGAGCAGGGATAGCAGGGGCTGCGGGTCAGGAGTGAGGGGCGTGAGTACAGCTGCGTGTGGGAAGTTTCTCCAGCACCCGTCCCTGCTGCATCCATCTGCATTTGTCGGTATCTCTGCCCCCCGACGCCCTGACACTCACTCGGAGAACATGGGCCAGGCCGCGTCCAGGTCAGCTCTCTTGAGGGCCAGGTGGAAGGTGACGCCGTCCAGCTCGTAGAGGCAGGCCAGGATGTCGGCTCGCAGCTGCTGGTGCAGGAAGGGGCTCCGGGCGTAGTACCATTCACTGCAGCCAACAAGCCAGAGGGGCCCCTGAGATCCCAGCCAGCCCCTGCCCCAGCCGGCTCCGGGCACATGGAGCTCGGGCAGGCCGGCCGGGGCTGCCCTGGGCTCCTAGCTCACCAGCCAGCTGCTGGGAGGCGGTGACGCCTGGACGGAGAGAGAGGGCGGCGCCCTGTGCGCTTCATGGCACCCCCTGTTCCAGGAGGCTCAGAATTTGCCGTCTTACAGGAAATGCACGGGGGGGGGGGAGTTAGATCTGGTCTCCTGAAACCCCCCCACCCTTTACATGCTGCCTCTGTCTCTCCCCCCGCGGTCCCCTTCTCTTCCTGTTACTCCCTCCCAGATCACTTCCTAGGGGGAAACTGAGGCACAGAGTGGGGTGACCGTTCACACAGGGTGTCAGTAGCAGAGCCACGAGTCCTGACTCCCCTTGGCCTGAGTTTTAACAACAGACCCATCTGTGAGACCAAGGTCAAATCCGCGAAGGGGGCGTGTGTGCGGGGGGAGGGCAGCGACCTGAGCGCACGTGGTGTCCACAGGGAGCCGCGCGCTTGTGTGCTCGCACGTTTACCCACCTAGCTCCTGCCACCCCAGGGCTTGCGTTTCGCCCTTCTAGGAAAAGTGCTCCTCGCTCGCAGGCCGAGCCCCGAATACGCCACCTCCGTCCACGCTGAGCTGCGGGAGCCGGGCCCGTGCCAGCGCACCCACACGAGCTGGGTAGACGTCGCCGCTCTGGCTTTCCAGCTCCTCCCCGCCCCGGCTTCAGAGCTGCGGCCTGAGCCGCGCCGTCTACAGAGGGATGTTCGGCGCACTCCCGCCACCCCTGACCCCGCAGCCTGGGCCGGGCTGGGAGCTTCTCCAAGGCGCCTCGGGGTGGAAGGAGGTCCCAGGATTTAGCCTGTCTGGATTTGCCTCCTGCAGCGTTTGTCCCTGGGGCCTGTCCCTGCTACAGCGTCTCTCGCTGCCCGGGGTCATCTGCCCCCCTCCCTCAGCTCCCTTCTCCCCTTTCATTTGATGCCCCTCTTGCTCCGGAGCCCGGGGCTCCCCCCGCGGCGTCTCAGGGGTTGTCTATTTCAGACAGATCCCCCGCCCCCGCCCCACCGCCGGGCTCCTCACCTGGTCATCTGGGGGTCCAGGACGCAGAGCTGCAGCGTCTCCGCCAGCTGCCGGTGCACCAGGCAGTAGCGAATGAAGGCTCGGCCCTTCCCCACAGGGGTCCTGAGCTGTGGGAACACGGGAGGCGTTAGAGGAGGATCCCGCCGGCCCCCCGCTCTGCTGCCCACCCCCCGCCTGTCTGTCCAGTCCAGTCCTCAGCGACTGGCGCCACCGGCTTTCCCCAGCCCGGGCGGCGACGGCTCCTGCTCACGGAAACGGGGCGAGAAGGTTCCTCGAAGGTGTAGCCCGGCTTCCTGCACCGAGACAGAGCCGCGCAGATCCAGACCAGCCACATCCAGTGTTCTCCTAGGGCCGCCTTGCAGGGGCCCCGATGGAGCTGGGGGTGCGGCGGCGGGGAAAGCCCAGGGTTGGGAGTGAGGGGCGTCAGCAGAGCTGTTGGCTTGGGGGAGGCCAGGGCTGGGCTAGCAGGGGCTGCGGGTCGGGAGTGAGGGGCACCGGCAGAGCTATGGGGGGAGCCCAGGGCCGGGCTGGCAGGGGGCTGTGGGTCGGGAGTGAAGGACACCAGCAGAGCTGTGGGGGGAGCCCAGGGCTGTGCTAGCAGGGGCTGCGGGTCGGGAGTGAGGGGCACTGGTAGAGCTGCGGGGAGCAGGGCTGGGCTAGCAGGGGCTGCGGGTCGGGAGCGAAGGACACCGGCAGAGCTGGGGGGGGGCCACGGCTGGGATAGCCGGGGCTTCG